AAAATCTGTCTAACACTTTCCTTATTGATGTTCGTAAGTTCAGAAATTGCTCGAATGCTCAGTCGACGATCTCTTCGAACAATTCTAGCGACCTTCTCCACATTCTCTGGAGTTTTCGCAGTGGGAGGACGGCCCGATTTTGGATCGTTCCCGACGTTTTTCCTACCCTCCATAAACTTCTTAAACCACTCGAAAACTTGCGTGCGAGATAGACACTGATCACCATATACTTCTGTCAACAAATTGTAAGTTTCAGTGGCAGATTTTCCAAGTTTTGTGAGGAATTTGATGTTAGCACGTTGTTCTGCATTAGCACTCAGCATTATTCCGACGGAGCTCAGAAACACGATCCGCTTCTAACAATGGTCACGGCCAGACCAACCGATGCACGTGAATGAAACTTTGTGTGACAGTAGAGGGAAGTCCAAGGGTCAATGCCCTACCCTCCTCTTCGTCAATGACGTGGCCGGAAATGAGTCATAAAAGTAATCCGGTTTCTTTATTGCCACACCTTGTATGTTGTCAGTGTATACAGTGACTTGTTGAGGTGCAGTTTCATTGTCTCTTCTGATGTGGTGTACCCCGTTGTGTTGTTGGCAATGGACTGAAGTTCTCGTTAGGTAATGTCAGTGGCAGTATAGTACGGGAGGGTGGTGAGAGGAGTAGGGTAGGCTTTTTCTTCTTACTTTTTTAGGTGATGGTGGTGGAAGGTGGGTTGGTGAGTTATTTATTATTATGTTGGATATGTTTATGAGTAGACTGAATATGGGATTATGTACTATATCTGTGTACGTATCATTCAGTTGTAATTTTTGTGCACTGAGCCTGTGCATGTAAAAGTGTTCCCAGGTATTTATCAGGGGACCCTATTTTCTTTGATGTGGAGTATATCCATTATTTTCTCTATTGTATCATATGTGTGTTGTGAAAATTTGGTGTTTGGTTTGCTAATTTTTATATTGCTTGGTTGTGCACCTTAAAGTGTATTTGAAAATTTCTGCCTCTTTTGCCCTATTTAGTTAATGCCACTTTCATTAAAAAGTATCTCTAAGCTTTTTTTATTTTACATGTTTTTGTTGTGTTTGTGGTTTTGACTAAAATATGAAACAAACGTTTTTATGTTTTGAAAGATGTTTGTATGTTTGTGTTCTTAAATAGTCTTGTGATGATTCTTGCTTCTTTTCTGTTCTATGTGGTTTGGTTCGTGTTTTATTTGGTGAGGCTGCAGGTTCCCCTGAAATGTTGGCAACTTTCTACCCGAACATGTGTCATCAGATCCCAGAATATAGCAGTCTATGTTCACTGCAATGAAAGCCTCAGATTGTATTTTTGTGTATCTGTAGTATCCTGGTAGTTGATACAAAGGAAAAGATAAAGATTTTCCTGTGCTTAGTTATTTAAGCATCATGCCATGAATACATTTGGGGGAGTGGAGGTATAACTCCACCATTCTTGACCTTGGAACTAGATGGAGGTGAGTGGTCAGCTTTGTGCCCTGGCCACTTTACCCCCAGGGGAAGAGCCCTTGGTACCCTTCGTACAGGAGTTTGGGTAGGCCCCAGAACTGGTCTGGACGCTGTTGAGAAGAGATAAATGTTTTGCCCCTACTGGGAATCGAACCAAGGCTGACTAGCCTGCAGGCCATTGCTATACTGACTCCACTCTCCCAGCTCCCCAGTAGTATATGCTGTATTGTTAAGTAATTAATCACTTTTGTGATACAGAAATAATTAGGATGATAACTGAAATTAGGAAAATGCTTTATGAAAGAGGAAATTGCCTGTAGCTTTTTGGATTGAATGTACATCATCTGTGGAAGGTCCCAGGCTCAATTCTAGTTTTAAATGTTGATTATCATGACATGTTTTTGATGGTGTAGCATTTGGTTAGAGGGACTCAGGAAAATCCTATTCAGGATAGCTAAGAGAATAAAATGAAGAAGTTTTGGGAAGAACTTATCACCTACTTTCCCTTGACATGGCATGAAGTGCATAGAAAATGATAAGGGATACCCAGACAGACCCACAGACTCTCCTTTGATAAGACACGGACCGCATAGAAAATGACGCATTGAACAAGTCTTCTGATGTTGTGTATATTCATTGCCATTGTTTACCAAGCCGTAGCCTAGTACTGAATGGAGGGATACACTTTACCAAGCCGTTGCCTAGCAACAGTAGGAGGGATACACATACAGACACACAGACTGATGGGAGGGTTTTATGAAGTATGTTGCTGAGATGGGCTCGGGGGCCATGATATACATACCAAGTTTCATAAAGATGGGTTCAGACATTCAAAAGTTGATGGGAATCACAAACTCACAGGAACATGGTGATCTCATAAACCTTTTTTTATTATCTCAGATAAGGAAAGTAGGCCAACTAGGAATTCCCAGATATGAAGTAGATATGCTTATCACTGCACTGTTAGTTTTCTTCAAACTTCTTGTTTAGCCATACTTGCTAACTGAAATATTGAGCACAGCAGGTAAGACAGTTACNCAAACCAGTTCATTGCATGCCTTGTTCTCATATTAAAATAATCAAAATATGTATCTATCATATACATTGTCAAACGTTAAAAATATTAAAATTGTTCAGGATACCACATCGCTACGTCGCCCCTCACAACGCCAGTCACGCCCATTCTCCTCTGTTGGAGCACTCCTTCACTATCTTGTGTGTGTTGTGCTTTTGTTGTGTCTTGCTCCTGTGACTGCGTGTGTTATACTGTTGGGCCTCCTGGGTATGCGTGACTGACGTAGTGAGGTGCGACGTAGCGATGTGGTATCCTGAACAATTTTAATATTTTTAACGTTTGACAATATATATGATAGATACATATTTTGATTATTTTAATATGAGAACAAGGCATGCAATGAACTAGTTTGGCGTGGATATGTAAGCACCTGAAGATGGCATTATTATGCCGAAACATGTAGTGCGAGGGAGAGAAGGAGATAAATGAGTGTATGCACTGCAAGACGGTTTAAATAAATCATGGAGTTACCAACTTGTTATGTTGTAGGAGTGGGAGGAAAGGCCATGTTGCTGAGCCTCCCAGTGGCTTCGCTTCGTCGTCGCAATGGGTTGCTGGCCCTCGTGATTGTAGTGTTTGTGCCATGTAGTGTCCTGGTGCTCATCTCTGGGCCAGACTTGAGCCAGGAGCAAGCACTGGTGCAAAGGTTGGCAGAACTGCAGGCAAAGCTGCAGCGCCTGGAATCAATGCATCAGGCTCGCCAGGAGGAAGTGCACATTCTGTCCCAGCACCTAGGCACGCTTCTAGCTGCAGAGGGTAACAGCAGTTTTGTCTATCTGCCGCTCAACCCTGAGGTGAGAGTGTTACTTCGCAATCTCACAGGAGTGCAACGAGGGGATTCCACCCAACTGCTGCGTCCTCCATCAGTGTACCATTTCCTGCCCCATCTGCTGCAGAATCCATCCAGCCTCCGCCCAGCTTACTGTCTCTCCAGGGGGCGTACTGGAGGTACATAATGTTCATGACTAAGAGTTCCATCTTCTGTGATGTTATTCTGTGTACTTTGTTAGAAGTCTGTGGTAAATATTTACTAAACAACTTGTTTTCACATTAGAGAAAATGGTGTTCTTTATAGTCACTGGTGTGAGAACCTCATATCTCTCGGTAAACATGATTACTGTCTTCTGAATATGATACCGTGTAGTTTGGTATAATAGTAGCACCCTGAAGATGGAGGCAACATGGCCTTTGAAAGCACTGATACAGTTCTGACTACATGGCATCACATCCCAAGAGACAGCAGTCATCGTTTCCGCTATTATGAGAAGCTCAGATCTCACAGGAGACATGGTGTTGATACTTGTGCTAAGATTTGTGTCTGTGTTTCAGTATCGGTGGTGCTTGGTATCCCAACTGTGAAACGCGAGGTGCAGAGCTATCTGTTGGCAACATTGCAGAATCTCATTGACAGCATGAATGAAGAGGAGGCGGCAGATTCACTCATAGTGATTTTCATAGCAGAGGTGCCTAATTTTGAGTTGAAGTCTTTGGATTTCCTGTCGTTCATCTTCTACAAATTTCTGTGTGACACACTGGTGATCAGGTGTGCTGTTTTGTTGCACCTGTTTTAATACAAGATACATTAAGCATATTTTTCCCCGAAGTGCATGGTTTCATTCTAAAGGCTTATAGTGGGGGAAGGGGGTTGTTAGAAAGGAGAAAATGTAGCTTACATATCTACAAGCTTTCTATTCCAAGTTGAGCTTGTGTGCAGTTGTTAATGCTGAGCACACCAGTCCATCGTCGTGTCAGGTAATGGCCAGAACACTCAGGCACCTGATCTGTCACCTCCATCATATACATTTATTATCAACAAATAGACAGACAAACTCGAAGGTCTGTTTCACAGTTTTGCACCCAGATGGCATCCCTTTGCTTACAAAAATATTTTTTTAACCAGTAAAATATGTTGAGCTCACGTGTTTACTTGGTGGGTCAGAGCTTTCTTGGCCTGTGGTTTTAGTTGTTTTACTGTGAATAGTTCAGTGGCGCTATTTTATTTTTGTAATAAAGTTATGTATTATGTATCATATTTTCCAGAGTTTATAATATATATAGTTAGTTCTTTTACATTTTTACCTAGACAGTTTCTGCTCCAAGCTCTAGGTTAGCTGACTCTGACACGTTGGAATATTTAGATGCACTTGACAGTGATGTTGACTTTATTCTGGAAGGTGCCACTGATGATACAAGTGAAGAAGAAGAAGAAGAAGCCACACCCCCAGCTGCTCACCTGTGTCTGGTAGAGAAGAGGATGACATGGATGTTGAGGACTACAGGGAAATTCTGTCACCTGATTGACCTCTTCCTCTTCCTTTCCAAAGCAAGAACTGTCTGGAACTGAGCATATGCCTCCACCTGTTGCTTACTTCCATCTCTTCTTCACAGGCTTGATTGTTACCCTCATGGTGACAGAACTGAATGGATATGCACAGAAAATGAGTAACAGTAGTGGATAATGTCCCCAATCCGCTAAAGAACTGGACAAGAATTACCTTGCGTGAGATGAAAGGATTCCTGGCCTGTATTCCAAATATGGGCATCATCAAAAAGCCAGCCATAACATCATACTGGTCCACTCTCTCTTTCAAAGCCACCCCATCGTTTTGGAAAATGCCTTCCAAGCATCGCTTTTCCCACTTGTCAACAACAAAGGATTGCCAGGCCTTGGAGAACAAGGCTATAATCCCTGTGCAAGATACCAGCCTCTTGTGGACCTGCAGACAGGGTATTCAGGTATCACCATACCTCTCATCAAGAAATGTGTGTTGACCAAAGCCTGGCAGGTACCAAGAACAAATCCAGTCTCATGCAGTATTTGCCCAACAAGCACCACAGTTGCAGAATCAAATTTGTGATGTTGTGCAACTCTGTGTCCATCTGCTGCCTGGGGTTTCTATATACAGAGGGACTCAGGTCTCAGGAAGACAAGGACAACATCCCCCCAAAAAATGGGATACACCATCATGAAAAAACCACTTGTGATTGGAAGGTACCTTAATGAAGGCTCATGTCTTCTTTGACAGCTGTTTCATGTCTGTTCCACTTGTCTGCCTTCTCCCTTAGCTAAACATCTACTTCTCTAGAACTGTTAGGAGAAATAGGAAAATTAACTCCAGCAGTTCTTGAAGTGAGACTTGTAAACTGAGCCAAATTCACCTGAGTGTTATAGGCCAGGTACTTGGAAAGTAGGTTGAATGGGAAAGGGTTAAAACACTGAGAGGTGGTGAAAGAAGCTGAAGAGAAGCCATGTGCATGAAAGTCCTAAATACCATAGCCTGCCATCTGCAGTTGACTACAGAACTACCTTGAGAAACATTGCTTATCACCAGTGTGTTAAAATGAAGATTGCTTCACAGGTGCATGCTGTATCTGTCTGCATCATCATTTTGTGTATACTCCTTATTGATTCACTTATATTTCCATCCATTCAAAGTTTATTCGCATATGTATCCATTTTTATATCACATATTTCAAGTCCTGAATTAAATTTGATACAGTGGATTCGAATGCATTCCCAAAATATGATTTTCATTAACATTGACTACCCAAGACTGGTTTCTATTTGAAGACATAAACAGAGCTTTATGTTTATCTCATTGAATGTAAACTGAAACAAAAAAAAAAGGATCAGAGAAAGTTATTAGATCTCAAAGGCATAATAAGTAATTTACAGGGTTTTTTTTTGTAATGAGCTCTTTTTGAAAACTTTATTAAAAGTACTTGTGTGTCATCAAACACTGATGTGTCTCACTGATATTTTGCAGGTTGACCAGGAATATGTTCTACAAGTCGCGAAGCAAATAGAGGCCCAGTGAGTATCCTGTTAGAGCTACTTTCAGTTTTCCAAAAACTCTCTTTACAGCGAGTTTTATGATGTTATATCACTGTTCAGGTTTACTGAGCAGGTGGAGTCTGGATTGATAGAGGTGATCTCACCTCCAGCATCCTACTACCCGGACATGGAGAACCTACGGGAGACACTTGGTGATCCTCCTGACAGAGTTCGGTGGCGAACGAAGCAGAATCTTGACTTTGCTTTTCTCATGATGTACTCTCAGCCGAAGGCCACATTCTATGTTCAACTAGAAGATGACATTCTGGCTAAGAAAAACTTCATCTCTACGATGAAGAACTATGCCCTTCAGAAAATTTCAGAGAAGTCTCCGTGGTTTGTCCTGGAATTCTGCCAGCTTGGCTTCATTGGTGAGACAGTTGTTGATTCTAGTCACTGCAAATCAGATGTACAAGTGTAATTCTAAAGAGTCATTTAATGGCCACTGAAAACTCATTGTGAAGTCTCTTCATTTACTGTATAAGCTTTTGTGTCTTTGTCTCCTTCTATCCTTTCACTTGTGGTCATCTGTCATCCTTTTATTTGTGTGTCCTGCTGTCATTCCTCTCCTCCTTCTTGCCTCTCCTTTATGTTACATAGTGTAGGAGAATTTCATTCAGAATACCCTTGATAATTACTCTGCATTCACTTCATTTTCTTATATTGACATTTTGTAAATAATGTGTTAGATAGATCTAAGAAAGGAAAGGAAATGATATGAAAGTGACATAACACTGAAACGACAGACTGACAGAGTCTGCCGTGGTTATGTTAGTTACATAATGGTTCAGTTTAAAAGTTTGCAAAAAGTGTAACCATCGCTGCTTTGAGAACCTCAGATCTCACATGTACTGTGTTGTTCAGTAAAGTTATGTGACCTTGCAGGAAAGATGTTCAAGTGTGTAGAATTGCCATGGCTTGTCCAGTTCTTCCTCATGTTCTACAATGACAAACCAGTGGACTGGCTGTTAGATCACATGATACACACGAAGATCTGCAGTCTTGACAAGGACAGTGTGAGTATTGTTCAGGGCACACATTGACATACTGGGAAGTTTTGCAGAGCCATCAACTCACTCTGTTTGTTTCAGAAACATTGCAAGAAAGCCAAGTCGCAATTGTGGATTCATTACAAACCTTCTCTTTTCCAACACATTGGCACTCATTCATCACTGAAAGGGAAGGTTCAGAAACTAAAGGTTTGTTAGAAGTCATATTACTGTACTTAGAACGTGTAGGATATGTGTAGATAGATGTGTGTGTGTTCCATAGGTGAGTGGTTCTGAACTTTTTCAGTCCACATAGCCCTTAGTCGGATAGTGATATTTTATATACCTCTAGGATCTCACAATGAAAATTCATGTACTCCTTGGTCTCAGAGAAAAACTTCACATATCCCATATCATTTAATTTTTTCTCAAGCAGCATATTAGCATGCATTATAAACACAACAAAATACAGAGACTTCTTCATGTTAAACACACTGTGTATTCCACACAGATAAGTTGATCGGAAGGAAGTTGTCACAACTTTGTGAGATCGCTTGATGTGTGTGTAAGAATGTATGAAATATATCTCATGTGCCTCCCTGCGAGACATCACATATCTCCAGTTCAGAAAGGCTACTGTAGATCCTAGTAATCAGGAAGTGGAATATATCACATTCAGATAGAATCAAAATATTGTGAAGATTTGGACTGTTGCAAGATCCATTTACCCTGATCTTCAGGTACAATCTATAGACTAGCTATGCTTCCATCTCTGACAGTAGTCCCACTGTTTGTGCTGTGCTTGTTGCTAAATTCTGCCTGCTTAAACTGACAGGACAAACAGTTCGGGAAGGTGGCACTGTTCTTCCCGCACAAGAATCCAGATGCTATGGTCGAGTCAGCCATCAAGCACTACAAACAATACAGTCTCACCCGCGCATATCTAGGGGAAACATTCTTTTGGGGCCTGCTGCCCCAACCAGGGGACCATTTGGTCTTCACATTCACCACACCAATTTTAATAAAACAGTATGTAAATCTCGACTTTTGTTAGTTTGAAGCTTTCCATGTGATTTTTCTTCTGTTTTGTTTATTGTACTCATCCCACTTTTAAGTCTGTCATGCTGTCTTGGTCCCCTACTTAACCTCATTTCTTATCCCTGCATTATTTACATTTGTACTTCAATACTTTCCTCAAGAATATCCTGTCTGTAAGCTGATCCTTTCTGCTAAGTGCAGACAATCCCCCACATATGTAACGGTTTCTTCCCATGAGCTGTGATGTAAGTCAGATTCCACTTACATTGGAAATTTCCATAAAAGTGTGCATGAGATCTCAAGTTCTCACTGCAGTGACTGGAGGTTACTGTCTTCTGGGATGTGAAACCTTGTAGGCTGGTAGGTACTTACAGGTGTTTCAGTGCAATCTGCTGGATCCGTCTTCAGAGTTATAATAGGGCAAATATAAGAACCCGTTCCTTTCCCTCTACCTAAGTAAGGACTTAAATAGCTTAACTTCTATTAACACATTCAGTGTCATGTAAGATTTGAGGTTCTCATGGCAGTGGTTGTGAAGAGTTCTTTATTGGGGAATATGATGCCACATAGTCTACTGAAAGTCAACCGACTTTTCCGAGAAACATGTCACCTCCATCTTCACTGTTGAAGAATAAGCCAAGCTAGAAACCAGTGTGAGCTCTGCTTGCCACTTGCTTTCACACTAGTTTGTTGCTTGGCTTATTTGAGCCTGAAGGTAGAGGCGACATATTCCTCAGAAATGTCATTCGACTTTCAGTGGAGTACAATAGTGTTAAGTCCCAGAAGATAAAACTGTTCACATTGGATTTTATCTGCCTGCCAGCAGTTTTTCCGCAAAGACAGGATTATGAACTTATGTTCAAAAAAGTTAGGTGATAGCCATTGTGTGTTTTGACTTTTCCAGTGTTTGACAAGCTACACTCAAAGTTTCTGTCCGTTTGAATGATATTTGTAGGAGAATATGATACTCATGTTCACAGTGATAAAGCCTGTCACTAGCATGCACTAAACTTGGTACATCAAGTTATGGGATTGGCACTAAATTTGTGAATATCAATTGTGACATGCATTGGTCAGAATTTTGTTGCTGTAAGAGATGCATTGCTGAACTGTTCCAGCTACCTGTTTCGGAGTGGCAATGCTGAACATCCTTCTGATCGTTTCTACAATACCTCGGTAGAAGTCCTGCCAATGTCTAGTCATACAAGCTTGAGTAGGATTGACTACAATGCAACCAGCGATGGCTTCGTCATTATAGGTTTGTATGTATTATAGTGATGGTGTGTCCCTGCGAGTTGTGGAAGGTGATGAAAAGGAAACCCAGTGCCTGGGGGGTATAACTGGGCCACCCTGTCACCAGAGAATTTAAACCTGGTCCTCCAAGTTTGTGGTTCGATGTAAGGGTGATGATCTTGCTCTGTAAAAAAAAAAAATATATATTTTTTGTGAAATCCAAAAAAGTGAAAATTGGATCAAATTTGGCAGAATCTTCTAAGGAAGGCTGTGGCTCAAAAAGTGCTGCTTTGTTAATGATGGTGGTGGCAGTGGCGGCGGCAGCAGCAGCGTAGTATTATAGTGAAGCTTAGATTTTACAGTCTTGGATCTTTACATTTTTCCCAGTTTTATGCACGTTTTGTTTGTTCCCGGCCAAATACCCTGCATGTTCTCAAATTTACATTTTTTTTTTTCTGAATATGCACTACATTTTTTGAATCCTGACAGAAATTTTCCTCATATCTCTATTATAATCATAAGGTTCCCAAAGTCTGATGCCATTGCACCCATATTCAAAGTTGACCATAGTAAAATAAGAATATGTTTGCATATGCACATTTTTAACCTCACACGAGTAAGCGATGCAGAGTGAGGATTCAAAAAACAGAGTAGCCGAAGAACTAACATGGTATGTAGGTTAATTTATTTGCATTTACACTGTTATTGTGTTTGAACATGTAGCTTGTAAATGGCTGCCCAAAGTTACAGGATAAAGAAACTCACCGTGTTGCATCATTCTCATTTAACTGATTTTACTCTTTCCTCAAGTTCTCCATTTTGCCCGTATCATTACTGACTAGTCCACTAGTTACATGCAAGATTTGAATGTAGTTCATTCACTCATAGAATGATATTACAATTTAATCTTCAGGAATGCCCCTTTTTCCTTAACCCCTTAAATTTCATCTAAATAATATTGTGACATGAGGGCTCAAAGCCAGAGTTATGGAACCAGCAAAGACAGCTGTTGCTAGGGAACAGCCCTGCAGCTGGTTACTGTTGTGACAGAGGCAGTACAACAGTAGAAGAATTGTGGGAATGTATTTGTATGCGGTTTGCACCACGGCTGTATAACCAGAGCCTATTTGAGGCAGTTTTCGAGCCTTGAGCGCATGAGGAACACCCCATGTTAGAAGATTGTAACCAGGCAGTGAAATTGGAGGCTGTAACAGGCTGAGAAGACTAGTGTGGGTTATCATGATTTGTGTGAAATTATAGTTACTTGTAATTCCAAGTTGTAAGTGTCACCAGATTCCATTGCCATTGTAGACCCCGTCTGTAGTAACTTAACATGTAACAACTGTTCAGATATTCAGTTTCTGTCTCACAAGAAATACATGGTATCTCCATTACAAAGACCAACTAGTTATTACTGTTTATGGAAATGGTCACTATTTAGTCTTTATATCGTTTGAAACCCATAAATGCAGTCTGGGACAAAGTGGGAAGTGCTGTAATGCTAAACTGGATGGTGCATGTGGTGACCACTGTGCTGTAAAGGGTTGAATCAGGATGAGGGTAAAATTCTGCCTCTCATGTATATTTATGAGTTGTGCATTCTTTCTCCTTCAGGTAAATTTGATGCAATGGGGGTGGCTGAGGGAGCGATAGATCCACAACTTGGAGCTATCAAAGTGTTGCGGCTCAACGTGCACAGCGAAAGTGAGAATTGGGCCATCCTGAGTGAGGTAAGCGCACATGACATGCGGGATGCACCATGTGTGTTCTGTACATGTGCACTGACTTGTTTGTTTGTTGCAGATCCACATCAGTGCCAGCTGACATAGGCCCAGTGATCAACAACCCTCCACCAGACTGACAAATTATTGGAACAGTACTCCAATAGCATTAAATTAACTTGAGCTGTGATAACTTTTTATACAGCAAGCACCTACATAACTGGCACTGATAGCTGTGCCATATTTTATAATACAGTTTTGGAAAGTTTCATTCTATATGGTACAACAAGGTCTTGATGCTTCACTGACATTATATTGACATGCCGTCGCCATCCTCAGGGTTTGTTCTAATTGTGAGGGTTTGTTGTATGTAATGTGCTCTGAACATTGTAACCAAGAAGGACATGAATTCTGCAGTCTCAAACATGGCATTCCAATGTCTGTGTTCTTCTTGAACCCAAAACCCAGTGGTTTTTTTTTTCATGTGAGTTATGCCATGATGCTCTCACTACCAGGGCTGTGTTGTGTTGAATGGTAGAATGATTGTTGGGCTGAAAACTATTTGGAAGGAGGTGCTCATGACCTAATTGAGGTACTATCCTAGCATTTGCCTGAAGGGACTGAGGAAACCTTTGAGAAACCTTATCCAGGATATCCAGAATTCCAGCCAAGATTCAAACAGAGTGCATCTCACATGTTAGTGTAGAATTTTACCAGTATGCCAGTGTATTCACATTGCCAAACATTACAGTGTAGCATTTCATATCTTGGAGGTTCAAATCTCAGACCAGAGATTGGTTTTCCATGCAAGTGCTGGGATGGTAGTTTAAAATAAACTATAGGTGTTTCCATCTATGTCCTCTCAAATTCATCATTCATAATGGCCTCATCACTTTACGTATGCATTCATAAAAGGCATTAAATATACAAATGAATGAGAGTTGCTCGATGAAGTGACCTGAACCGGTTCAGTGATATACCTGGAGGGGCATTGCTCACGTCCAAGCGTGGGTGTCATTGGCTCTATTTGCTGAGTTTTCTGTATGGTTTTCCACAACAGCAAGCGGCTTAACAATAAGAAAGATTACTGTCTCTTGGGATGTGACACTGTGTAGTCTGGTAGATCATACCCAACAGGAGGAATCTGCTGTCTTCCACCAGAGTCCACGGTAGAAGTGAATGAAAAGAGGGGTTTCAACTCAACAGAAAGGGGGCCCAATCTGGTACACAGATCAGACAGGCAGGCTGCAATTGAAGCACTTGGCAAATACCAGATCACCTCAAAACTGGTCTGGGAGTGCCACCAATCTCTCATACAGCTGGCCAGACATAACAGCATTCAACTGATATGATTGTCAAGTCATGAGGGTACCGTTGGTGATGAAATGGCAGACCAGTTGGCAAGAACAGGATCTGAACATTCATTCATATAGCCTGAACCAGATTGCGACATCTCAGTTGGAGTTGCCAAGAAATCAGTCGGACTGGAGGAACAGAAATCGTAATAAACAGTGGCAATCCATAACTGGACTCAAACAGGCAAAGGGACTTAGTGCCCTCTGCTAGAAGAATGAAGGATCTGTTAGAATTAAACAGATACCAATTAAGATGGGTGGTATGAGTATTTAGAGGACACTGTCAACTAAAAGGACACCTTTCCAAACAGGGATTAACAGATGATCCAATTTGTGAATGGTGCCTAGAGAAAGGTGAATCAGCCACACATCCTGTGTGAATGTCAGGCCTTAGCTTAATTAAGATTTCATCATGTGGGCCAGATCTTTGTGGAACCAAGTGACTACTAAGTCACTACATACAAAGTCATACATTTCATTCAAAGTGTAGAATTGATAAAAGGTTTAATCAAAAAGGGGAAGCACAATATATCATTTAAGATTGCAGTGCAAGGGCTGCATTATTATGGGCCACCCCTTATGCGTTCATTCATCAATTCTTTTGTTCAGCCTGCAGCCCTCATCTCCCCTGAAATATTGGTAACAGTCTACCTGCTGTACAGTGCCACATCCCAGAACACAGTAACTTCATAGTCACTGCCATGAGAACATCAGAATTCACTGGTGCATAATAAGTCTGATTATCTCATTGATGCTTCCTGCACTTGTCTTCCCCATTTCACCATACATAATCATCATCCCATCTTAATTTATATTATGTAACCTCAGAAATTCATACAGAATCATTAATTAAGCAGTAGACATGCATGTCTGAATCATTTGATCATCAGAGTATGTATAGGCTCATGGTAGAATGTTCCATTTTTCCTCAGATTTTATGCTGCCATTTCTGTTTTTTCTGCCAATGAGACTAGCATACATTGTAGCTGGAACTACTGTCACTGAAGACATCAGGGAGGGATGAAACCACCTGATACCACAGTACATACTGTAATAGAAATATGAAAGGCAGTTACGATTCTTGAAGAGCTACATCATGTGGACACCATGTCAGTAGATCACTGGAAGGGACCAGAGTTAAAAGTTTGACAGAACTGCACACAATTTACCACCTGTGGTTTCTGTGGCAATATTTGCATGAACAGGATCCTGGCCCAGCTTGTATTTGTGTACTGTGCAGGCACAGGTATGCTGGATATGATCTCAGAGGCTGTTGTGGCAGAACACTGTCACCAGACTCACCTTCAATAATTGGGTGATAACAGGGCAAGGCATTTTGCAACCGTGTCTAAATTACATATACTGTGTATATATAGTAGCTTCCCAGTTATCTGGGGCGGGTGGGAAATTAATTTCCCCAGGTAATAGAAACCCCAGATAGTCAGTAAAAGGGATACAAAATTAATTGTGAACTAGAATTTGTAAAACAGCACATACTTTTATAAGTGTATTTTACTAGAATGCTATTGGTAGAAATATGAGTATGGTTTCTGGGAATTTCCTACACTGTTTCTATATGTTAAAATGAAGAACCATACAAAGAAAGCCTTTCCATATTCAAATGTGAAATAAAACTCCATTTTATACCTGTTCCTTTTAAAATAGGAATTTCTTAGGAAGTTCATCTTTTGACAATGGACACACCAGTCAATTTTCTAAACAAAGCCCAGGGTAATTAATCTCTCCCCCAGCTAATCAGGAGTCTATTGCATAGTGTTTTATTCCAAATGTATATTTGTGTTTGCGGTCATTCAAGTACATTTCAGATGGTCTTCCTGGATGTGATGCTTTGTGGTTTGTTAGATACCAGTATTTCAGAAGATTTTGTTCTGTCTTAGGACCTATTTATCCACCAAACTAAACTGTGTTACTGCCATGAGAATATTATATCTCAAGGTAGGACTTGGCTTATTGTACAGGATGCTGGTCAAACAAACTTGCTGTTTTTGGCAGGTAGTGATGTATCCATTCGTATGTTTGTTTGTTGCTCATAATGAGATTTAAACCTCAAAGAAAACAGTTTTAGTTTATTCTCATGATGGGATTTTATGCTCAGAATTTCTGGACTATGTCTAGTGTCTAATATTCTGAACAGAACATGGTGTTTTCAAAACTGGGTCTCTTTCTGTTCTTCATTTCTAATAGACCAAACTGAGTAGGTGCCTTCCTATATTTGTTCCCATGGATTGAAATGGATCCAGTTTCTGAAATGTGTTCTCTTCAGAATAATTTATAACAGACAAAGTCCAGGAATCCAGTTGCCCTAAGCATAACAAGAGAGCTAGAATGATATATAGGTTTGTTCATTGGCCTATTCCTTGTGACCCTTTCCTTTTCTTTATCTCCTTAGTTACACTTTAAAAAATTGTACTAGAATAGACCAAGGAAATATTTCTGTTGATACAAATTGAGTTCTTTTATTTTTCTTCCTCCTAATGGGGAGGGGAAAGAGATTATTTTTATGATGCTGACAGTACCTGAACTATATAGTGTTCAAAGACAAGATGAATTGGAAAGAATTTGGATGGAAGTTGGTGGCCTAATCACATACTGTCTTAGCATGTACCTTCAGGGACCAAGGAAAGCCATGAAGAACAGTTGGAATAGACAGTGGCCCACCTGAGTTTCAAACCAAACACCACCAGAATTCAAGTCTAGAGCATTACAGCTATGGAAACCCATTCAGTCATTTGTTTTATAGCAGGCTTTTGTTATTGTGTTTAATAGCCATCGCAGTTCGTAGTGCCGTGGTTTATTTAAGGTCAGTTATGTCTAGTGGAACCAACAGATTCAGTGTCTCCCACCCTTTCACCTGAGGATGGAAACAAATATGATTTCCAAAGTCCTGTGTTATGTAGAATACCAGACAAAGGGCAAAGTCCAAGAATTTAGCAGTCTTGAAAATAGATTTTTGGTTATACATCCTAGTTTTTAAAACATCGCGTAGGAAATATTGTATATGTTAGATGTTATACTTTAAATCACCTTCTGTTATTGATGTTAAAATAAATCATAAAATTCTTGTATAGAATTAACCTTCAGATTTATTTTTATATAAATAGTTTTGTAAATATTTTTATTGTTGATTTTGTAGTGCAAATCCATGTGAGGAGATCCAAAATTATCATCTTCCATTGATCATTTCATTCATAATATCTTGATCTATAGTATCATGTCCTCTTGTATATGTCAAGAATCTGTATATTTAATATTTTAATTTCCTTTTATTTAATTGCTGTATAATAATGCTTAAATAGGCATATTTCAGATTTTAGATTTTCATTAGCTTGTAAATGTTAACTTTAAGATATTTCACTAATCCATTCATATTTTGTCAACTTATGATATGCATGTACAAGAATATCAGATATTTTATGAAAACAAATGTGTCAGGGATTTACAACTTCACAAATTTTTGCGCTCAGGCCAGAGGAAAGAGTCTGGCAGGTTGTTAATCAAATAACCCTGCTAGAGGAATTAATGACTTAAGAGGAATCATATTGCTTGTAGTCTTGTTTTCTGTATACAGTGCAACAATATCAATCTAAATTTTGAACAACACCAATTCGCACTTAATTGTGTAGCCATGTCACTTGAATGCTGGATTGTGAGTTTGAATCCCACTCTAAGCATATATGTCTATATCCGTTTATTCTGTGTTTGTGTTGTCCTGCTTGTAGGTAGCAACTTTGAGACGGGTTCATCCCCCATCCAAGGAGTCCTACTGACTGTATATAGGATTAGGAAACTGAAAAATTGGGCAAGGTCCAACAAAGGACTGTAGAGCCATAGATAGATAATTAGACTGTATAGCATCAAATGGTTGGTTAATGGCATAGAATGGATTGGAAAGAATGTGGGAAGAAGCAGTCATGACCTAATATAGTGTACTCCCCTGCATTAGTCTGGAAGGACTAAACAGAGACCATGAACAACCTTGGTTATGATGCCAAGTGCTCTGGTTGAGATTCAAATCTGACACCTGTCAGATGCAAGTCAGAAGTATTACTTCTTGAACAAACTTGTTCAGTTTAATGACAAGCATGTTCGTACTGCTCTTTCCTCTTAATTTGGTTATTTAATCCTCTGAAGCCCAGTTGTTACTGCATGTACCACATGCTGTAATGTAACAAAACCTCTGGATTTTGCCCACAGAGTGTATTTGTGTTTCATATGACTTCTCACAATAAGTAGCAACTATGCCCCTAAACAGCTTTAACCGACTGACTTTTCTATTGCAAACATGTTTCCTGTGAGGTACGCACTGAATATACATAGGTAAGTCAATAAGTAAGTTACAAATGGATATAGAACTTAAACAAATAAGAGTACTGATTTGAAAAATGCTTTTATTTCTCAACATAATCTCCCTGTACATTGAGGCACTTGTCCCATCCTTTCACAAGCCCCTGAAAACCAGCAGCATAAAATTCATTGGGCTGCTGTTGGAACCAGGCTGTTACTGGGATCACGAAGGCATACTGCTCACCGCATTCCAGCCTCAAGGACAAACCATAAATACCGAGTCCTACTGTAATATTCTCAGGAAACTTTGTAAGGCCATTCAATGGAAGCGACCAGGACCCCTCACCAAAGGTGTATTGCTCTTGCATGACAACGCGCATCCCCATACTGCCAACAAGATAAATGAGGCACTGCGAAATTTCAAGTGGGAAGTCCTCGAGCATCCTCCGTGTAGCCCTGACCTTGCTCCAAGCGACTTCCATTTGTTCAGCCCTCTCAAACATCATCTTTCAGCTGAACATTTTCCCGACGATGCTGCTGTAGAAAGGGAAGCCACCGCCTGGTTCCGACACAGCCCAAAGAATTTTATGCTGCTGGTTTTCAGGGGCTTGTGAAAAGATAGGCAAGTGCCTCAGTGTACAGGGAAATTATGTTGAGAAATAAAAGCATTTTTCAAATCGGTACTCTTTTGTTTAAGTTCTATATCCATTTCTAACTTACTTATTGACTTACCCTTGTATATATATAGACACACACACACACACACACACACTGTTTAGGAGGAATTCAGTTGTTATAGGGTTTATGATGCTTCCAGTTTCAGGATTATACGTATATCATCAGTTGTAGGATGATTAATGAATGTGGAGCAATAGGTGGAATGAAAATTGTCAGGAGAAGCTTAAGTACTTTAAGAGAACCTGCCTTTGTGCCACTTTGTACACCGCAGATTTCACACAGTTCAAGCTGGGCTGCTGATTCCTTGAATATATCTTCTATTAACGTTTTACAGGTTATCAGTTTGCTACTGTGTTTTGTTGTTCCTATAACTTTTTGCCTTCCAGACATATCCTGAGCTTGTTCTGTATTGCCTCTTCACCTTCATTTTATGATTCCCTATAGGTTACCTGGAGTTTCTCTTTGTCCAGCTGCTACTGTTTTCCAGTTATTTCCACTTTGGTCTTTTTCACAATATGTCCTATAAAAACATTTAACACCTCTACTGCCATGCCCCCATTTTTTTTATTGCTAGTGGGATGGGACTAAGTCCCTTGTACTGCGGCCACTTCTGGCTTATTGTACCAGCCCCAGATGATAGGTGAGGGTAATTGTGGAGCAATTGGTGGAATGAAGATTGGCAGGGGAAACCAAAGTACTTGGACAAAACCTGCCCCAGCGCCACTTTCTCCACCACAAATCCCACTTGACCAAACCCGGGCCACCGCGTTGGGAAGCCAGCGACTAAGCGCTTGAGCTATGGCGCGGCTAAACCATGCCCCCCATACTGAGACTTCACCTGTTGGTCAACAATTTTTTTTTTTCATAAAAACTGGATTTTCAATGTACAACATTTTGAAAAGAAATTGGAGAGAACAAGGGAATACAATCCACCATGAGTATGTTTTGAATCGTTTTGGCTATGAGAAGCTACATTTAAATTTCTTTTCATTTGAATTTTACGTATCAGTAGGATAAAATGAAACTTATCTGCACAGTGACAATAGTCTGTCACTTGATGGAATTAATGCAGGCAAGGAGTAAACTTCAACCATCACTTCAGGTGAGTGGACTGACAATGAATGTTTAGACTGACTCATCCTTCCATATCTCTCTTTTCCAGATTTTGTGGTCATGCTTTTCATCAGCTTGTTCCCCTGACAAATGTCCCTCACGTAATAGAGTCAGAAAGCGGGAATCAAATGGGACAGGGCTCATTTGTGAATGTGATGACAAAGGTGCATCACAATTTTTTTTTATTGCTAGTGGCGTGGGACTAAGTCCCTTGTACTGTGGCCACTTCTGCCTCACAATTAGTTTGAGTACTTTTCAGCAGAGTCATAGCATTTGCTGATCTCCCAGCAGTCGTTATAAAGTACTCTGTCTTCTGTGATAGAACACTGTGGACTTTTGGGAGTCAACCAAAATTTTTGTATTTATATTTCCTCTCTCCCTCGTCTCCCATGTGCCCAAGCCATCTTATTCCACTTTATTTTATTATCCTAATAATATTAGCAATAAATACAAATTATGCAGCAGCTCATCATGCATTTTTCTCCAAACTACTTTCACTTCCTCTTAGGAACAAATATTCCCCTCAGCACCCTGTTCTGAAACACTCTTAGACTATGTTTTTCCTTTAATGTGAGAGGCCAAGTTTCGCATCCATACAAAACAGCAGGTAACTTTTATGGTTTTGTATATTTTAATTTTTACATTTTTAAGTAGATGGGAATATAAAAGATTCTGAATTGGATGGTAGCAAGCATTCATTGAATTTTATCTGCTCTTAGGTCTTTGTCAATACAATTTTGATTCGTCAGCATCGTTCCCACTTGCCAGAACACTTGTTTTTTTTTTAACACAGACAGTAAATATTGTACAAGGTATTGAAACTGAATAGGATGGAAGTTCAAGTTTGATTACTTCTGCAACCAAGTGGTGCCTTGTGTTGGCCAGTGTGTAGATGCTGCAGTTTGGGAACTGCTGAATTGTGTTTGTCTATATACTGTTATCCCTGACATTTCCACACCCATGATTCAACAGTTCCTTGCTCCTGTATGTGTAGCAATTTGCAAAACACTACAGACATTTAATGAGTAAGTTTAAAAAAGAAGACAAAAGTTCTTTGTGATGTGATGTCTCTGTAAATGTGGCAAGGCATATTTTTAATGGCTGTTGCTTGCACTGTTTATTTTGTCTTACTTTGCTAATGTGTGATTGAAGGGGGTTGTAAGGAGAAGGATTGCATACCACTAGGATCCTTAACACATTCATGCACCAATGCTGGGGTGTTACCTGCTGGGCCAGCCATTTGTTCCCAAACACTGAATTTTGGCTTTATTATGTTTTGAATCAGAAGTGTAAGAGAACAAACGAAAAGCAGTTGACTATTGCTGTATGTGTCTGCTCATTGAAGCTTGAAGAACCTATGCTTAAAGTTTCTGTGCATTTGAGTGAAATCTGTGGATACATCTCATCACCTGACAAACTTGTCTCTGACTGATGGTAAACATGAACTTGTCAGGTAACAGGATTGGCTGTGAATGTGTTAAAGCATTTATATGACCAGTTTTCTGTATCACATAGATTCAACGTTTCTGTACAATTACATTTATATTCTGTAAGTTTTAAGGAAACATTCTGTATGGCCTGTGCTCTTGGAGATAATAAATCTGTCTTATAGAAAAAAGTGTTCTAACAGAGGTGCATTGTACAGAGTGTTGCTAGGTTTACAGACTTTGTCATTTGATATTGTAAAAACTGCAGCACAGTGTTTTGGCTGCTGGATCTGCCCCCATTCTCAAATTTGGGGGGGGAGGGTACCTACCCAGTTTTATCACTGGGTCAAGTGAATCTGAGTCACTGGACCACTTTAAAGTTGGCTGTGTCAGACAGTAACACTTCTAACTTGCATTCAGGGGATGCCTTGCTCAAATCCCAGCCAGGACTTCAACTGTCATGATTGAGAATTTTCGTGGTTTTGTCAAGTCTCTCCAGGCAACTGCCAAGATAGTATCTCAATCCATGGCCTTTCTAATGCCTCATTCATTAATCATTGTTACCATGTGACTCTGTACAGCTGCTGACAGTGTCATTAAATTATAGATAAAAGTAACTGATATTAACTGTGTGTAATGGGTCCAACTGTGTAGGTACCTCCCCAACCTGAAGATGGGAGCAAAGACATCTCCGAAAACACTCTATTCTAGTTTTTGGAATAACGTGATGGATGATGTCCAGGAAATTGTGTTCTGGGGTGGAATGTCAACTCCGCTCTCCCCATGTATCTATATAGGTGGAGGGGTGTTCAGTTCCAGGAAGTATTAATTTTACCAGCATTCTGTTGAATTACTGATATAGCAGCGAACAAAACAGAGATGATATGAAGTGTGTCATTTTGCTAACACCTGTGCAGTTTTATAGAAAGCTTCTGTGAAGAGCCAATAACAACTGTCATGATAATTTTTTAATCAGAACAATTAGAGCCAAATATTATTAATATGATCACATAAAAAGAGGATGTAATGAGTATGGCATGTAGCATGCATGGAAAAGTAGTACATACAAGGTTTTTGGTAGAAGAGCCTGAAAGAAAGTGGCTGCTAGGAACACTTAGCTTTAGATGTAGTACAATATTAAAATGAAGCTTAAAAAATAGGATGTGAGGGTGTGAGCTGGAGTCATCTGGCCTAGAATACAGACCAACGGTGGGGCTCTTGTGAACATAGTAATGAACGTTTGGTTTCTATACAATGCTGGGACTATCTTATAGGGGCTGAGCAACTGTTGGGCTCTGAAAAAGGAATCAGTTCTATGGAGGATTGTGAGAAATTGTGATATTGCAAATTGTCATTCTGTGAAGGTAAGGAGGGTGTGTGGAGTTCTTTACAGGATGAGGAGAGTGAAGCTTCTAGTGCATTTTAGTTATGGCACTCCATTCTATTTCTATAACTATATAACTATGATTGCGGTCTTCTGGTATGTGACATCATGTAGGTTGGTAGATAGTTATCAAGACTGGAAGAACCTTTCTTCCTTCTTTGACCCTGTATATGGAAGGGGGGAGGTTCAAAAGTTGGTACCTATCTACCATGCTGCACAACATCACATACCGGAACAAAGTAATCTTTATAGTCACCAACACGAGAACCTCAGATCTCACGTAGAATTGTTCAGCTTCTCAAGAAGTTCACTGATTTCCAAATTCGCTTTTTCCTGTCACAATCTGATGTTTCTCAGTCTTGTGAGGGATAATATGTAAAGGGACACATGCCCCTACGAAGGAGAATCACTCAGTCCACTGCACGGGGAGTCACAAGTGCATGGAAAGGTTTTGGTGATGGTGTGACTCCGTCAACCGCTTCTGTGGTTGGGGGCAATGAGCTTGGTGGAATACTGAAGTTGAAGTTCTGAAGAAGTGATGCTGTGAAGAGAAACACATTGGACTTGGCCAGTGTCTCTCCCATGCACCGGTGCTTACCTGCAGACATTGTACACAACTTTCAGACACTGTACAACATTAAAAACTTGATTTTTTCGATCTAAGTCCCAACTTAAAAATATACTACCTGGTCAGGACTGTCACATGCTTCAAGGTGGTGGGGATAGATGAGTTTGGAGCAAATGCTGGAATGATGATTAACAGGGGAAAACTGCAGAAACTTAAAGAAAATCTTACTTCACTGCCAGTTTGTCAGTAATAATTCCCACATGAGGTCACCCAGGGTTGATCCTGAGTTTGTACCTTGAGATGCCTGAGTTACAGCATGACTGCTGTACAACTTTATATCCTACCAAACAGGCTAGCCTGAAGGTAACGCTGTAGTCACGTATGCAGCATGTGGTTGGTTCGAATTTCAGCTGGGACACTGGTTATTCTGTTAGAGGATTTCTATGGTGTTCCTCAGACTCTCCAAGCAAATGCTGAGATATTTACCACTTTCTTCTAAATTCCTTCCAATTTGTCATTTCATCATTTGCTCCTGTATAGTTTCAGTACTGAAAGCATCATTAATTAACATACAAAAGCCACATATATCTTAAAATTAGGAGTGCACATCATGCCACTACTGCTGTTGGATGGTAACAACTTACCAAATCCAAACGGCGTGTACTGATCAGGAATGAAAATGCTTCCCTGTGAATCTATGAAGCGGTCGGGCCGGAAGACATCAGGATCTCCCCAGATGTCTTTGTTCATGAGAGTACCATTGAAGTTGCATATGACCATGGTATCCTACAACATGAGGCAACTTCCAGTTGTCATTATATTTTTTTATTCTGATGGCAAAAGATGGTGCATATTATTATGTGTTTGGATTGGTACTAGAATTTACTTAACACTTATAACTTGTAACTACATATAACTATAAATCTGTTGCTAATCTACACACTTTACTTCTCACTATAGTGCACACTAAGTTTTACTTTGCTGTGTTTTCACCGGTCATTCCTTCATAGTGGTTTACAACAGTACAGATTCCCTTTACTGAATTCATGCTTAATGGCTCCTGTCCTCACTTGCTGGCTACCAACTTGCAACTAACTCATTGCTTTGACAGAACTCTCCACTGCAACTGACTGTCTCCTAGTCATAACTGGCTGTTTTAGGCAGTCAGTCAGTCAGTTGGTTGCTTAAATTGCTGCTGGCCTTGCCAGCACAGTCATTCTTGGCTTCAGGTCTCGTTGAGATCTGTGACCAAGATTTTTGTTCTTTCCTAAAAGAGTATGTGCTAAGAAGTGGGGGCCTCCTCTTCAATAGGGGGAGAGGTCAGTTTTTCTGTGTAGGTGCTATGTTTGATGCACCTCTTTGCAATTTGCTGGCTGCTAAACTGCTGCTGATCCTCACAGCATGATGATTCTTGATACTGAGTCCCACAGGACTCATAATCATATCTTACTGTCTGACAGCTCTGGGAGCCTTCAGTTATGTCTGGCTTACCGTCTTATTCACCCTGAGGCTCTCATTGTATAATTTCAGCATGGACCTTATAGAAAACACCAATTCCAAAAATTATGTTGTGGTGTGTATTTGATGCCTCCATACATGTTTAATTAGCCATTACCTAACAGCAGACTGTTTCTCTTGTTAAACCACTCTGTCATCACATCTCAGTATTTTAAACCATGCAGTAAATAGCATCAAATTATGACCATTGCGTGGTGCTAACCTTTGGAATGTGGTAACCCTGGAGCTCTGTGTCTTTCAAAGCTCTGTGGGGAATGCTAAACGTTCTTCCCATGAACATTCGTACTGACTCCAGCACAATGGCCTCCATGTACGGCATCCTGCAACAAGAATACTTGTCTCATCCAAAGAGCTGGTTGCAAAGTATCAGGGTAACTTACTGCATTAAAAATGAATGCTAACTTGGGTCTGTCGCTGAGGGACGGCAGTCTTTCTCGCCCTACTACAGCATCAATCTCAGCCTGGGCACGGCGCTGTACATCAGGGTAGAGCAATAGGTAGAGGAAACAGAATCCCAGTGACTTTGTGGTGGTCTCAGACCCAGCCATGAACATGTCCATGCAGATTGCCAGCAGCTGAGACTCTGGAAACAAGAACTGTCTTGCAAAAACTCATAGAAAGAAGGCAGTGGAGAAACTGATATCAAGAAGGCAGTGGTGACAAAATATCTGACTGGCATTTAGTCAAACATAATACTTAGAACTAAAAACATACCCCTAAAATAAGCGTCCTGATGAAATTTCCAGGAATGTCGGGTGGACAGTCCAGATTACAAAACAGAAATTAATCCAATCCTTGTGCCCTGTATAAGGCCTTACCATAATTCAATTTGAAGCCTTTATAAGGCAGTGCAATAAGTCTCCAGCTAGTACCTACCGTGTTTGTGATATTTTCATGTTTTACATCTTTCATAATTATAAACTCTATGTGTAAAAGGTTTGATATGTGGTACCTGAGAAGCTAGACTTCTTCTGATCTGACATAAGAATCTTCAAGTAGGCATCCATGAAGTCACGCAGTTCAGCCGGCTGGAAAGTCGCCTTGTGCTTATCCAGTTCTGCCTGTTAACAAACTGATGATACTGTGATATCTCCTAATTCAAATTACAATGCCCTCTTGTTGACACTTTGAAGGAGTAATAAAACAAGAATGAAGAAGTGTTCTGTGTGACGAACTACACAGAATTTCAAAGGCATTCATTTTTGTTATCCTTTCACAGGTATATCCAGGACATTCACATGTTCAGCAGGATCAGACTTGTGAAACTACTTTATTGTGAACAAAAGTTGAAAAGTTAATACCTCACATATGGTCATTTTAATAACATGTACATGACATGAAATATTTCTTGTTAATATTTATAACATATAAGACTTGAAATTTCGGTGACTAAGAATGATAAAATGTCGGGAAATGTGCCACATAAATTTGGAGTCCATGCCCAGTATGTCAGAGATGTAACTCGTTCCTAATGCCGAAGAGGTAGATCTCTGAAATTCCCTACTTTCGAATGTGAATTGACATGGCTTGTAACCCATGAATATCTTATGAATGTCTCTAACTTTTGAAAAATATGCTGTATTAATGTGCCTATAACAAGATAAACGTGTGTGAAGTTTATTTAGATATTTAAGTGAGGTACCAGCCCTAAGTAGAAAATACTTCAGAATTCATATTTCACTGCTGAAGTTCATTTTAATATGATAAAAAGCTTTGTATCGAAACCGCCCCCTGAAAATAGATTCAGGAATTGAATCATAACAGATAAAGAGAGATATGGCCTCACTATATGGATTCCTTTTTTAACTAAAAAGTTGCGAAATAATTCAATTACATTTCCAAGGCCTCTTAAGTAAACATATCTTTGGATTGACCTTGAGATAATGCCACACCCTTTGGTGAATGTAAAGGAACTGCTTGTAGCCGGAGAACTCAGGTGCAAGGAAGCGCAACACAGGGAACTGGCTGAAGAGGCAGCCCACCATATCAATGTTGGCAAAGAGTTCTGTGAGCAGACCCTGTAGTTTCTTCAGCTCCAGATCTGAATGGCTGAAGCGGATTCCAGCCAATATGGACCACAGAGTGTTGAGCACATACACACCAAAGGCATTATGCATTGACATCACCACACCTGCATTCTAAAATACATTTGAGAGCAATTAATATCTTATTGCATTACATGCAATTGGTGCAGTTATGTATATTCTCCATTCTCTCCCTTTTGGGAGAATGGAAAGAAAGTATTGACCCAGAAATTACTTGCAGAATAAGACAGAGAGAGTACATAAATATGTTACTGTTTGTGGATGATCAAAATGTATTACAGTGCTCTCAGGAGAAGGTACAGCATTTAGTTTATAATTTACACAGTCCAGGTGAAAAGTATAAGTTTCATATTTCAACTAAGAAAGCAGCAGTTATGGTATTCAAAGATGTCATTAATGATTGGAGCTAAAATATGTATAATTATTGATTCTAATATCTTAGAAGAGATATCTCATTTCAGTTATCTAGGAAGTAATGAAACATATAGATTATAAATGGACTTCAAGAACAGACTTATCAAACATGAAAGAATTTTTGGTATTCGGGGAAAAAACTTAAAATACTAAAGCAAGAAAAGACCAGTTAAAATATTACGTTGCAGTAAGACTAACAACTTTTCTATATGGAAATAAATCTTGTACAATTAAAGCAAGGGACATAAACAGATCAGTCGGCAGAGACAGGATGCTTAAGAACAGATAAAGGCCACACTAGAGTAGGCCATATTAGCATAGAAATTGTTAGAAATATAAAGGTAAAAGGTAAAGTTGTCCTTGTGCTAAATTAATTAAGCACCATTCCATGAAGATATATTGGGGAGTGGAGGTATATATCCACATGAAGGTTTCAAAAAAGAACTGAAAATTTAGTCAGTGTAAAATAAAGTACATGAACACAGACAGAAGTGAATAAAGCATTTGGATGAAATTACTGATAAAATAATACCAAAGTAAATTCTGCGGTATCATATAAACTAAGAAAGACTTTGGAAAAGATGGAATGAATTTGTAAAGTCATAAGCCTGATAGCATGTATCACGAATTGAAGACGGGGAGGTAGGAGGAGGAGGGGGAGAGTATCTTTTTACTTCGGTCTACATACTATAACACTGAAACTTTTTTATTGTTATAGCTTTCATTAATGGTGTCATTTAGCTTTCCTCAGTTGGAAGGAATATAAGAGATGGACCAAACAATGTAGAACTCCTTCTATCCTATAGCAACTTTACCCTTAAATGGTACATGTGGTTTTCACAAACAATTTTCTGTAAATGAATTGTTACATATAATCCTTATAGTTCTTGTATAAGGCATGCTACTACCAAACAAGAATTGTAAGAACTTATAATGCCAGCTTTCTTTAAAATTTTCCAATGTACAAGGCTGTCAAGAACTATAAATGGATTATACCATTTATGATTAATTTGTGTGCATAATTTCCATTAGTACAAACTGTGTGAAATTTATCAGAAATAATATCAAGGATTTCCAACATCAATATGCTTGTAATTACTTATATACAAACAATGCATTTGTGATATGTCAAAATACAAAATTTCTTTTGCCAGAATTTAGTCCATTAGTTGTCCTTATCAAACGAAAAACTAATCATAGATTAGATATTACTGTAGTGCTGTTGGTTTAAGAACCTAACTTCTTTACTCTGTAACCAACCAAATTCTGGGTTAGAAGTGAAGCCCCCAGAATAAAGATCCAGTATGTGATAATGTACTCCCTGGTCAGGGCTATCACATACCTCAGGGGGCAGTAATAGATGAGCATGGACCATTGGTGGAATGATGATTAGAAGAGAAAAACAGAAGAAACTTGGAGTAAAACCTGTTCCATTGCCACTTTGTGCAACACCTATCTCACATAAAGTCACCTTGGATCGAACCTGAGACTGCGTTGTGAGATGCCAGAGAATAACTATCTGAGCTGTGCAGAAAAAGAGACCAAAGAAAGTTGTACTTTTTGTCAATGATCTATTATGACATAAAATTTAAGGTCCCAATGTCAAGAACAATATTTTTTACTTCCTTGGAAAGTCTCTCAGTTGCTATGTTATTATTATTGGCAGTAGCAGATGAAAAAGTGCAAAGGAGGGGTGACCACTTATTATCTTCTGGCAACAATAGAGCCATCCTCCCCACCTGGAAGCCCTCCAGTCTTTTTTGGAACGCTTGGACAAGTTGCCTAGCCTCTTCCTCCACTAGTTCTGCCATGGTGCGACGCCCAAAACCAAACTCCTTGAGATGTCGCAGCACAAAGCGACGCTGCTCCTGCCAGAACTCCTCATCCGTCAGCAACACACCTATGACAATCAATGTATGTCTTCATTCACTGGGGCTTATGCCTGTTGCTGAACAGCAGATGCTAATTTTATAGAATTTAATCTCATCTCATGCTTGCGGTTATTTAGGACACACCTCATTCACTTACATCGTACTTCATGTATTGGAAGGAGATGATATTGAAGCTTCTTCGTAAAACAGCCAATCTGTCCACTATGAGCTTATATTGTACTTAGGCAGCACCATAGCTCAGGCAGCTAGTCACTGGATTTCCATTGCAGTGACCTGGGTTCGAGCTTAGGTCAGGTGATGTGGGATTTGTAGTGGACAAAATGGCACTGGGACAGGTTTTCTCCAAGTACTTTGTTTTCCCCTGCCAATTCTCATTCAACCGATTGCTCCACATTCATCATCTATTATCCGAGGCTCATACAATAGGCCAGACAATGGCCGCAGTAACAAATGGACTCAATCTCACCCCATGAGAAAATAAATAATATAGTGTACTTTCACCTTCATTTACCCCATATCTCAAAGTAGGAATCATGATATCTACCGCAAATGTGAGGTTCTTACAATTGTGAATACGAAGATACTGTATTCCAGGATGTAAGACCATGTAATCTGATATATACATACCAATTCTTTAGAGGAGGCTGCTTCATCCATCTTCAGCATGTGTGTGAAAAGCGGCCTCCATAGTCTAGGGGTAACGTTCCCACCTCGTGACTCAAGATACGTGGGTTCAAACCTGGCGGAGGTTGTGGAATTTTTAAGGGTGGAAAAATTCAGGGAACAAGTCCTCCGGGATGGACTTCAAGCCATGGGTCCCGTGTCGTAGCTTTATGGCACGTAAAAGAACCTCATGTCCCAAGGGGACCACTGAGCCAAATTCAGGACATTTCCTGCCCAACAGTAGTCTCTAACGCCTCTGATAGATGGGGAAAGCATCGAGATACCACTGAGCCGGTAGAGGCCGAACTCGCTGAGTCGGGACTGATGGCACGCACCAGTACCGGTAGGGAATAGAGACTGGTAAATATCATAGGGGGATGCACAATGGACCAACAGTTGGTCTAAGTGCATGGGGAAACCCACCCTTTCCAAATACAATACAATACAATGGGTGTGAAAAGCACAGAAGATAAAATGGTCACTGACAGTGAGAAGTGAGAAGAAGGGCTTAGGATATGAACCAATGGGAGTGTGTATAAATCTCTTAATATAACAACATGTCCTAATGGATTCTCACTCACCTCTTCGTTTACCCCATGTTCTGGTCTCGTAGAAGAGACCCTGAGGCCTGCCATCAAACTCCTCACGTGACAGCATTTCCTTGATGGCTTCATAACCACAGAGGACAACTTGTCGGTCCTTGCCCACTCGAAGCCCCACCACTGGGCCATAGCAATTTGCCAACTCGGCAGTAGCACGGTACAGGTAGCCTGTTTGCTTGCGTAACCTGTTCACATGGAGGGCGCTCCCCAGCACTGGCACCCATGGTGGACCTAAGGCAAAACATCAACTTCTCTTGTTACCAGTAGCATGTCAACCATTTGAATCATGAAGTTCATCTACGTAATATTTACAAATGTGTTTCTTAAATCACTGAAAAGACACTGTGTCTCCACTGCAAAGACTAATCAGTTAATTCTTTTTAGAAGAATAATCAGTGTTTATTCTGAGAATCATATGAAACACATTGATACACTCTGCAGGCAAAATACAGTTTTTAAACATTTGAGCAGTGATGCACACAGTAACCACTGTGTTTTAAAAGGTTAAAAAAAGACAAGAGTATTGAATTGATTTATTACATGACCAGTGTCTGTGTATGTACCTCTAAACTTTGTTCTGTATCACAGTCAACATACCTGGAGGGAAGTTCTTTGGTTTCTTTGTGTCATAGTAAACAAAGAGTCCCAGTATAATGACAAAGAGCAGCAGCACAAGCCACATCCTGCAACACAGGGCACAGGTATGACAGTTACAATTAGAAATAAATACAGAATAACACAACTGTGACATAACAACTTTGATTATTGATTAATAATATTGATTTTGTTACCATCACAATTGTGTTATGGCAAGGCATGAAGCTGACAGCTCACCTCTATCTAGTTCCAAGGTCAAGACTAGTGGAGCTATACCTCCACTCCCTCATATGTCTTTGTGGCTTGGTGCTTAATTAATTAAGCACAGGGACTTCCCTCCTCATGGCTGTGTTTCTCTCTGTCCCAAGTAAGGCCGTCAAATTCCTTGTTATTTGTTTCTTCTGTTTTGCAGTGACTCTATAATCTCCTTGGATAGTACATAATTTGTCAACCATCAAATTAATACCATTTCATTCCCCTGGACTCAAACATACTCACTTCTAAAATTTAAAACTGTGGAAATGATTTACTTGTGTGAATAATTCTTGCACCATGTTGAAATATGTGTTAGTGTGGTGACATTCATTCTGAAATCACTGAGGTTAGATATCTTTCTCCATCATTCAAATCCATATCTGATATTCTTAGTCAGAACTGCAAATATGAAATAATTTTATCAATTCAGGACTCATTAACTGATTTACATTTCACAACATTTGTGCAAAAGTTGTAGAGAAAAAAGAAGTGTCACAAGTTTTGTGGCTTTCAAGATAACGAAACAAGGGAGCACATGTCTCAGAATGTTTATGCTATGTCTACATGTCCTAACTTGCTAAAAATCAAATTTTTAATCCGAGACAAGAATATGACATGAAATTGCTGGATCTGAGGTACTATCTCCTGGGATGTAATGCTGTGTAGTCCCATACAAATCCACTCTTGTTTCAAAAGACCACATCCTCTCCTTCTTCAAGTGCAAGTTGTAAGTCAAGCATGAAACCAGTAAGAAGCAGGCTTCAAGCAGTTCTCTGTTTCCTCCTGGTTACTTGCTTGGTTAACCTTACGAACCTGAAGATGGAGGCAGTACGTTCCTCCGAAAAGTCGGTCCACATCGGGCTACGCGACATTACATCCCAGAAGACAGTACCCTTCAAATATATTACAATTTTTATGTTTCGCTTTTGATATTGTGATCGTGTCTGTCCTTTGGTGAAGGTCAGACCGCGCTACGTGATTCACCTAAAGAAAGTTGTGTGCGGGTGAAAACACGGTCTTTATAGAAAAGAAAGTTCTAGAGAGAGAGAGAAAAAAGAAATACAAGTCATCGGCTTCCGCTTCAGGGCTGGACGCTTTAGAAAATGGGTAAATATGCCTCACATCTTACGTAAAGGAGCTGTACCACTACGAACCCGGCTCTAGGAATTTTATATTGGCTTTTGTTGTTTTTCTTCTACTTAAAGGGTTAGGTTCTCTGGTCTGCCCCGTCTTCAACTGAATTCATCTTATCATCTTGTTTTGGCCGACGTGTATATCTGTGTCCTTCCGGTTTAAAATTTAATGTTATCTTTGGTAATCTATTTTCGTCAATTCTAAAAATGTATTCATACCATTACTCTTTTTGCTTCTCGATTTCCTCGTCCAGACTGTGAATGTTTAATTACTTCTGCATGCGTAATAAAATTAAATACCAAAGGAACCACAACGGGCAATCAAGATTACAACCAAATTTCACGCTTTGATTGGGCGAAGTTCATGACGAGCGAACGTTCCACTTTTCGTTAAATTATTTCAGTTCTACTGGACCAAACCGCAGCTGCGTCAGGGTCTTTAAGTCTCCTGTAATAAAAGAGGTGTATCTAGGGTTCGCCCTTTATTTCAGTCCCGAATTCTTGTATGTCCCATTCGTATCCATGTACCCCATGAACTTGCGCTTATGCGAACAGCAAGAATTACAAGAGAGCCTGCACGCATTTATGCTTGGTCACATCATCTGCAGATTCTATACAAACGCGATAGCTTTGCTGTCTCTTGTTATGTGGATATTACGGCATCAAATTAATTAATATTTACGACCTCTTGAATTGATACCTCCAAGAAGACCGTAAGTTATATATGAGTAAATTCTACCCGTATGCCACCTGTTGATTTTAAGTGCATTCAGCAACAATATATGCTTGTGCCACTTCAAATTTCACTCGGAAGTTTGTCTGTTCTCCATTTTCGAAGTTCTGTAAAGACTATATTTTAAGGAACAATGCAACCATCACGTGTAACAGGCTTTTACTCAAATATTTATTAAATAGAATCGTCTTACATGTTTCGGTCCTAAAGGGCCACCATAAGAGGCTTCGTGTAATAAAAGGCGGTTGCTTACGTGTACATTTGAAATTGTCTGAAAGTCTTACAGTTGTACTACAGTTCTTCTGGGTACAACAAGAATATATTGTACTTGTTGTGGTTGCCCTGTTTTCAGGAATGTGCTATTTAATTTTTTAAACCTTTCTTTGTTTGGTTTTCTTCTTAATATGTTAATATGTAGAAAGGGCACAGGTACTTCTCAGAAACACCACACACGTTTCTACAAATAACGCTCGAGCAAAATACACTTATAAATCTATATGTGACGTTTTATGAAACTAAATTCATAAGTTCTTTACACATTCATTTTACTGATTATCGGGGGTTTCCGATTAACTTGGAAAATTAATATTCCATCCACCCCGCATAGTCGGGAGTATATTGTAATATCTTAAATGAAACAAAGGAATTACATCACCATCTTCATTCATGTTACAGGAAGTTAGCATATTGTCTAATGGCGGCCTTCGTGTTAGAAGGTATGCAAAAATGCCCTATAAAGTTTTTTCTTAACAATAATCCGTTTTCTAGCCTACTTTCCTTATTTTGCAAAAAGCAAAAGTATCTTTATGTAATCACCATGCTGCCTGTGTGTCTGTGAACCCCCCTCCAACTGCTTTTGAATACCTTAACTAATATTTACGAAACTCGGCACGTATATCCTGACACCTGAGCACGCTTCAGAGGAGTACTTCATAAATCCCTCCCACCAGCCTCTCTGTGTGCTTATCTCCCTTATCGCTGCTATGCAACAGCCTACTATATACGTTCCCGCGGCAACGACTACACGAAGCAAAGAAGAATTGCTGGACTCGTCATTTATACGCCATTCGTGTCGTATCAAAGAAGATTCTGTGTGTGTCTGTGTAACCCCTTCTCGTTGCAAGGTAATAGCTCGGTAAACACGTTCCCGCGGCAACGAAGAATTGTTGGAGGTGTCGTTTTGTATGCGGCCCATGTCGTATCAAAGGAAAATAAGCGATTAGTTCTTCCCAACACTCCTTGTTGTCCACCATAAAGTACTCGGGATTACCTGTTGCGAGACACAAATGTCAGTAGTGTGCTGGGCCGGAAGAAAGCGGCAGTTTGGTCACCCCTGGCGAGCCAAAACGCGAGAAATAAGTGAAAGTGATCTGCCTCGTGCCTCGCATGAAAGTGAGATGATGAACCGACCGGCTGTCGAACTCTGGTGTGTTGCGTTTCTGTCCCAAGAGCCTGTTACGTTACTGCGGCTTGGCATCTCTTTGTGATGGTCACGTCGGCCGCCGCCCCGCGAGGCTGTTAACGCTGCTTGAACTTTCTCCGGACGTAATCAGGCGTAACACTCCCTGGGCAACATTTCCACGTGCGGATGTCCGAAACCGACGGCTTCAAACAGATTTTTCCGTAAACACATTCTCGAAAAAGCGCCAGGTTAGCAGAGCCAGTAAAGTTGAAGTTGTCCCTGTGCTTAATTACTTAAGCACCACGCCATTAAGACGAATGGGTGAGTGGAGGTATAGCTCCACCATTCTAGATCTCGGCATTAGATGGAGGTGATGGGTCAGCTTCAAACCACGGCCGCTTTACCCCCACGGAAAGAGCCCCGGTACCCATTGGACGGGAGACTGGGTGGGCCTCAGGGCCGGTCTGGACACTGTGGAGAAGAGAAAAATCTCTTGACTCTGCCGGGAATCGATCTCCAGCCTACCCATAGCCCGTCGTTATGCCGACTTAGCTATTCCGGCTTCAAAATCAGTCAGTACAGTGACTGAACTACGGACTGAACACCCGAGGTATCGGGTTTAATTCCTGGCAGAGACAGGAGACTGTCATCTGTTCTGCACCGTCCAGACTGGCTGTGGGGTTCACCCACCCTCCAATCCAATTTCCCCGGAAATAATGTGGTCTGGGCGTGAAACTGGCTACTCGTCTCCATCTAGAGCCGATGTTAAGAATGCGTTGAGCTTCACCTTCACACCCCCCTACGCCTTCATGTCATTATGCTTAATTAAGCATAGGGACGACTGAAACTTTTACCGTGCGTTTTAAAGAGCCGCATTTATCCTTCGAAAAATGAAGAGAGAGAAGGGGGAGACATACAGAGCTGTGGGGGGGGGGGGATCAGAAGAACATACAGTATCAGGCCGATGGAATGCCTGGGTAGTACCTCGATTAGACTACAACTGCTTCCTCCAAATTCCTTACCAATTCATCATCCATACATCATCCTACTGTTCAATGCTACATAGTCTAGATACTGACAGCGCTGTCTAAAGCCTGTGCAGTGCTCACTAGCCTGGGTGTCATAGAATGAAATCTATCATTTCACATTGGAATTGAGATATTGTATCGAAAAAGGGGCAATTTTTGGAGTGTAAGAAGTGGTAGCCTGAGACAAGGGAACAGAATATCTAGTTTTCTGATAATTCCAAACGTAAAATAGTATAATTCATATTAAAAGTATGCAGTGGAGTTATGGATGCACGCAGTCTTAACCTACAGATCGACTCTGCTGTCCACTCAGCCTCGAATGAATACCAGAGACATTGTTCCCGAAGGTAAAACAGCCGGAGCGTGACATCGATCACACACCTTCAACTAGCGCCGAGGACAAGAATCTCTGCTTCTGCCGGATTCTCCGGTGTTGTCGTCATGTGTTGGCACTTTTCGTCAGGCCGATACTCCATGCTACAGGTTTCAGTGGAAAAGGAGTCCCTACACCGTAAAACAAAACGGCACAAGATG